AATTAATAAAATTAATTAAATTAATTAGAATTAAATATAAAAATATAAAAATAATTTATTAATATTTACCGAAACTTCCAAAAGATATTTTGAATTGAATAAATTAAATATTCATGACAAAGATCATGACTCAAAATATGCTGCATATTATTAGGCGTTCGTAATGTTATTTTAGATTTAGTTAAGTTAGGATTATTTAATTCATCAATAGTTATAGTGCAAATATGACAAGGACATTTGCATCGGGAAGAATTGTAAGTTAATGTTAATGCTACATCCTCAGGTAGATCACTAATAAATTCAGAAAGAAACGGAAAAACCCAAATTATTTGATTATCAGTAATAATATTTAAGCCGTTATTTTCTAATTTTTCATATATTAGTTGCATCATAATATCAAAGCAATGTTGATATAATTTTCTCTTAGCAGACGCAAAACTTTTTTTATTACCCTTATAATTGTGTAATGGCTTTAATTTTGATAAAAATCCCAATAAAGCTTTGGCATCACATTTATTTCTACACCAGTTTGGAATATTTCATAATGATAAATAAACAGGATGTTCAGAGCTTTTCCTAAGATGGTCTAATGTGGTAGCATCAGAATATATAATAATTGATAAAACTTTTTTTAATCCTGTTCCAATTGATTCTTGAGCACGTTTCCACCATAATCCAGTCCATTGTTTTCCATATATACATTCATATTGCCCATTATCATTAGTAATATATTCTGCAGAAAATTCCCATTGACAATATTTTAATATATCAGCATTAGATAAAAGTTCTTTAATAGCATCAAAGACTGGTCGATGGTAAAGATAATATTCCTCACTCTCATATTCTAGAATCTTTGTTCTAAGGTATAATAAATGTTTGACATACATAGAATTAACAAACTCACGTTCTTGTGTTGTATTTTTTGGTAAGATTACATCTTCTCGAAGATGATGCTTATTGAACCACTTCAAAACAGCATTTCAAGCTGAATCAGATAAATGATATTTTGATATAAGTTCCATAAATTCAATATAAGCAGCATCTGAAAAGGATGGAAAGTTCTGATTTGAAGTAGATCTTGTATCTATCAAAGTTATTTACTTAGTTCGCTCAGGAATATATAAGGTATAATTAGGAATGTGATCAAAATCAAAATTTTCAATTTTAGCATCAGATATGGATTAGATTCTAACAAATTATTTATATCATTATCATTACTATCTGAATCAGTATCACTGTCTTCTAAAATTATTTCCTTTATTAAAATAAAAAATAACATAATTAATTAATATTTGTTATTTTAAATAATTGTACCATATAACAGAATCAAAAATTAATCATGCTACCATCTCTTCAATTTGTTCAAGTTCTTGAATATTATTATCATTTTCATTATTGTTATACATAATTGTATCATCTTTAGGATGTTCAATTATGTTTTCCAAATTCTCATCATGAGATGTTTTTAAAATATTATTTAAAATTTCCCAATATGCTTGACCTTTATGTGATTTTGTGTGCTCACGAAGAGCAGCTCGTTGAGAGAAAGTTCTATCACATTGATGATATGGACAAGCAAACATTATTGTTGAATATTACTAAAAAATAAAAAATTTTGTTTAATATAAATAATAAGATCAGTTTTTATAAATTGAAACGTTTATAATTACTATTCGTCAGCGATAGATTAAATGATTGATAGTATATTAAATGATCATCATAAAATAGTATAAATAAACTAAGATAATTTTTTTTTCGTCATACTTTTTTTCGTTTCTTCCAAAATGCTACCATTAACACGTAGAAGAAAAAAAGATGAAAGTACTGCTTGTACATCTGATATACAAGTGCCTTTTAAACATGTACTTAAAAATATAGCAAGTGGGTCTAGTACTATACCTCTTCAGCCTAAAAAAACTTTGCATAATGAACTTATGGTTGGTATTAAATTGCAAATTTATTATTAATAATCTATAATTCTTGGAATTAAAATGAAAAAAAAATAATTTAATTTAAATATGAAAAAATTTTTCTTGTTTAAACCATTTTTAAAAATAAAATAAAATTATTGTTAAATAAATTTTTTTTAAA